AGGGCTGTTTATGCACAGGGAGACCACTGAGGGGGCACAAGTACATGGAGGAGGAAGTGGGAGGGGAACTGTTGCATTGGGGTAAATTGTAGTCAATGTCATGAGACAAAGTGTATGTGAACTGCTGTATGGAAAGTGAATTTGCTCTGTAAACTTTCACCTAAATCACAATATAAGTAAGTAAATAAATAAATATTAAAAAAAAAAAAAAAAAAGATGTGTGGAAGATTAGGAAATAATGCTTTAAAGAACAACCAAGAACTGACCCTGCACAACACATATTTTTCTGCAAAATAGGAAATATATCAGGCCACTATCTACTTATTTTGGGAACTGCTGTTAAAATCTATGTCATTCATGTCATATCATGCATTCATGCAATTAATATTTATTGAGTGCTTGTTGCGTGCCAGGCTATCTTTATCTTATATGATATGCTTGGAATTTATACAGAGATAAATTAAGTAGATGGTTAAGCTATGGATTAGTATGTCCCAGAAAAAGAGAAAAAAATAGAGACTCACTAAAAAAATCCTTTTTTGTATCATCCAGAATCTAATACGCAGGTCTGTTATAGTGGTTATAGCTATTTATTGTCATCATTTGCTCGGACATCAGGCTGCCCTGTTGGAATCTGACTTTCTTGAAGGAAAAACATGAATCTTTGTATTTGTGGTGCTGTATCTCAGCTTGAATTTGCAGTATAGCAGCAGGCATAAATTCTGTCATTCAGTCAGTCCACAAATACTTATTTAGTAATGTACTAGGCCCCTCCGATACAATATGAATGACAGAGTTTACTTTCTAGTTGGGGATCGAAGAAGATGGATCACAAAAATGTAAACAAATGAAAGAATTTCAGATTGTGACAAACTCTTGAAAGAAATAAACTTGGCTGATGACAGTCAGGAGGCTACTTTAGGTACAGTGGTCAGAGAAAGCTCTTAGATAACATTTACTTTGGGAACTGAAAGACAGGAATGAGGCAGCTCTGCAAACAGAGAGAAGTATTCCAAACAGAGGGAACAGTAACAGAAAAGCCCTGGAAACCACAGAGAATCTGGTCTGTTCTAGAAGTAGAAAGGAAGTCAGTGTGGCTGGAACAGAATGAATAAGCAGAGGGTTGTGAGTCAGGAGTCCAATTCCATGGAAACTGATGGAAAGTTTTAAATAATGGTGTAATCTGATCTGATTATTTATTAATTTTTTTAATAAAAATGCTGCTATGAGGAGAAAGAACTGTTAGCACAACAAAAGTAGCATAAAAATAAAACCCACTACCAATCAGTCAATTCCAACTCATGACAACCCTTTAGAAAAGAGTAGAACTGCCCCAGAGGGTTTCCAAGACTGTAAATCTTTAAGGAAGAAGACCTCTTCTTTGTTCTCCCGTAGAGTAGCTGGTGGGTTAGAACCACTGACCTTTTGGTTAGCAGCCCAATACTCCACCCTATACACCCCTAGAGCTTCTTAGAATAGGGGAATAGCAAATAGGAAGCTGTTTCTTGGATGGATAGAAGGCAGGAAAGAGAGATGAGTGAGTGAATTATTGTTTGGTTCAAAGGAACAAAGCTTATGAGTCATTTGACTTGGTTTCTTAGCTTAAACTGGTTCTTAAATAAAATTTACATATGTGTGTGTGTGTACAGTTAAAAGAAGATTGCTGGAATAAAAAATTTAGTTTTCTAAAACGACTGTCTTGAAAAAGATAGTACACATCACTGGTATATTTGTTTATATATATATATATATATATATATATATATATATATATATATATATATTAGGGCTCTGGTGGTGTAGTGGATAAGGCACTTGACTGCTAACTGGAAGGTAAGCAGTTCAAACCCACCAGCCATTCTGCAGAAGGAAGACGGGGCTATCAACTTCCATAAAAGATTTATAGCCTCAGAAACCCAATGGGGGTCACTATGAGTCGGAAATGACTTTATAGCAATGAGTGTGGGTTTTTTTCACACATATATATACACACATATATATATACATATGTATATAAAACAAATATGTATACTGTTTGATAGTCATGTTATTTCAGATAGGATCATGCCCTTTGACACAGCAACTCCATATCTAGAACTCCATGCTCTGGAAGTTTACCATGCACATAGCTTTGAAATGGGAAATACAACCCTAAATATCTATCCATAGAGAAGTGGTTCAGCAAATTATGCACATTTGTTCTACTTGATACTACAAAGCTATCCAAAAAGGAGGCTTTATTTCCCATATTATGACATGAACTAATGTCCTTCTATAAATAGTGGGAAAAAGTAAGTTATAATGTGTATCTGCAGGTGTGTGAAAGAGCTCATAGAATGGTCTAAAACTGTGCTAATACTAGAGCTACCACCCTACGTGTGTGTTGAGCATTTCAAGTATAGCAGGTCAGAATTGAGATGTGCTAGAAATATAAAATATACACTGAATTTTTGACAGTTAGAATAAAAAAAGAATGCCAACGTTCTCATTGATAATTTTTATATTTTTTTCCATGTTCAAATGACAATTCTGTAGATGTATTAAGTAAAATACATTATTTAAATTAATTTTATTGTTTCATTTTACTTTTTAAAAGAGACTAGTAGAAAGTTTTAAATTTTCATTGTATTTCTTTAGGACAGTGCTGGTCTAGAAGGATATATATCAAAGTAATTATACTGATTATTCCCAGGGACTAGGACTGAGGAGAAGAGTTTGATGAGGAAGACAGGAAAGGGGACTTTCAGCTCCAACGTAAACTTGTCTGAATTTTTAAAAAATGCATTTAATTCTAAATTTTAAAATCAAATAGTGGGAATCCAAGTAAAGTTTTTAGTTTTTAATAGTCCTGCACCATGTTACCTTTTTCACTTTTGATAAATGTATCATGGTTATACAAGCTATTAATATTAAAGGAAACTGGGTGAGGGGTTTATAGCAACTCCCTGAACTACCTTAAACACTTCTATAAATCTAAAATTCATTTTAAATGAAAAGTTTGAAAAATAACAATAAGGAGGAAAGCAAGTGACTCAACTAGCAACCAATAAGACATGCATCTTATGCTTAAACAGTGATTCTCATTTAAGGTGTCAACATACCATAAAGCAACGGGCTCCAAATACCCAACTCAGAGTATCCCTTATAAACACATTTGCTTGAAATAAGGCAGACAGGATAACTAAAGGAGCCCTGTGGCACAAATAGTTAAGTGCTCGGCTGCTAATACCAAAAGATCAGTGGTTCCAATCCCACAGAGGCTCCACGGACGAAAGACCTGGTGATCTATCTGCTCCTGTAAATATTACAGCCTAGGGAGCTCTGGTAGCATAGTGGCTAAGACACTTGCCTGCTAACCAGATGGCTGGCGGTTCAAACCCACCAGCCACTCCTCGGAAGGAAGGTT